TAGTAAGAATATAGTGAGAAAAGCCTAACTTCCTAGCTCACATTTGAGATAAATCATACTAAATATTTAGTAACACTAGCTGTAATATAATCATCATGGAAGTGATCAATCTAATGGGAGCTTTTATCTAATGGTAACTGATGAGTTATTTAATATGTTTAACCAGAAATATGGAATTATTTCAATCCAGATGTTCACTATCCATTGTCATTCAGTTGCTGATCATCAGCATTAAAAGCATTACTATGATAATGGTTTCTTGGTTCTCTTTGTTTATACAATAAAATAACTGCTTAATCTATTTCCAGTCCGACATCGACCATTAAATTGCCACTGTGTGAATAATTGTCCAAGAATTGGGTAATTTCCTTGGGTGAAAGGTTTTTTGTCTTTTTACAAACTACACAGAAAGCAGAGAAAAAGCTGATTCTCACTGGCTTCAGCTCTGGGGCTGATTTTGCAGGGTGGTCAATGTACCTCTGTTGGCCTTAACACAATGCTTCCGAGTTTGTTCTGCTCCAGTAAAGAAGTGCTGCCTTAAACAGAGGTGAGAAAAAGACGGATCAAAATACAGCTGAGAAATTTGGTTACGTCTTGGGCCTCAGAGCTCAGCTTTGTTATCCGCACTAGCACTCAGGAAATGGTACACTGTCACCCTTGAGATTGCTGAGATCTGATTTTTGGTAAGAAAAGAGGCATGCTCTATATTATGCTATGATCATCAGGGGGGTTTATGCATGCCAGCAGAATAAGCATCAAGAATAGCTGAAGTTGCAACAACTGTAAGATTTTTACAAGGTGTTTGTTGAAGCATGTAAGAGTGAAATGCCTGTGGTAATAACCTTTATAGTCCATCTGATGACTGGATTGTAAGAGCAATTGTTGTGCACAAGACTATGCAGCAAACAAATCAACAAGGCAAGCGTAAAGCACAAACTTCCCAAAGCTGAGGATGCTTCTCCCAACACAAACGCTTTAAATTTGAATTATATCTTTACATTACAGATGAACTGCAGCGATCAATAGATGCTACATCTATTTCATTTTCTCCCTTTTTATGTCGGTTGAGCTTTTGATACTAAAATCACCTGCCAGAATTTCTAAATGTTTTTTCAGTTTGCACCAAAATGTCTTTAAACATTATCTATTTTGGAGCCTGTTTTTCATTTAACTGCATGCAGGATTTTAGAGCTTTTGCACCAATAGTTTTTAACACCGACAGCAGTTATGCAATGGATGATTGCTTGTAATTACTTAAAACATTTACTGTACACAACAAAAAACAACAAGCAATGTCCAAAATTATCATACCATATTCAATTTTGGAGTCTCTTAATAAAAAGATATACAATATAAAATTCCAACCAAGTATCTTTATCCTGCTAAAACTGTCTGTTGCTCTTGATCTCCACAGGTTTCTCACATACGGATAAATAATCTGCTAAAGTGAAGTTATGTATAAATGTTAAGAGGAATAAAAGGAATATTAGAGCCATTGATAAGATCTGCAGGTACAAAGAGCATAAGGTCTGCAATACATTTCGCTCTAGATGTTCTCTAGCTCTTTTTTGAAAAAGTGGTCAGTCTTGGAGGGGATCTATCTTATGTATAAGAATGTGGCTGAAAAGACAAAGGAAGTGCAGCGGTAGCAGAAATACCTTTACCTCTATGCAAATTTCTATTACAATGTCTCTCTGTAGTCCATAGCCATCCTGACAGTTCTGTGTGGATGTTCTTGGCACAGCGCTGCTTCGAGCTGAATGCTTGTGTCCGTCATTAGGATTCATTCTCTCAGGACTGCCAATCAATGCTTGGCAATCCATCTTGCAGTTTTAAAGACATTTAAAAAAAAAAAAAAAACTTCCACCGTTTGTTGGCACTATAATGAAGATTAGGGAATGATATGTGTGAGTAAGTTCATCCCCTGAGAACAAAGAACTTTGGTTATGAAATTTCACAACTTTAAAAAAAAATTAAAATCAATAGTTGTTGAGACATTCAGTTTGACTCCGGGCCAAAATGCTGGATTGACTAACCGCCAGACCAACAGTGACCCACAAAGCCACAAAAACTCACATGACTATAATGCATGTTTTATCCTAAAAAAGCTGCAAAAGTGTCACAGTCCAAGTATACTACAACAGCATACATGTAAACAGCATATTTTTCTTCAGTTCATCTAATACACAATAACATATAAAAAGGGATTGACCAAAGTGGTACACCTCTCAAACATTTACTTGACATGTTTTTATAACCACTGTTATTCAGATTTTTAGTAGGATGCTGCATTCGCACTGACTGCTACACAATGCAACTACATCCTTTTCCTACAAAACGGTTTGTCATTTCAATAAATGTGTTGCACAAGATTGGAGTTCTTTGTTTGTATCTATGTCTACAATACAAATATGGTTACACTTACTACATTACTTGGACAGACTCTGGCTACAAAACACGTTTTATGAGGACTGCCAGGCTAATTTTCCATTGTTTTCTAAACACTCATTCCTCCAGTCTTTTGTTTTTGCATTGCCATCTGGTGACTTGAACCAAATTTCTCAGCTGAACAACGAAAGAGTAGGCCAACAAAGATGAATCAATTATAATAAAAAAAAACATGCTGTCCTGCAGAAAGAACACATACGGAGAGAGTGCTAGTGGTTCTTGTAAAGGATAGTGTTGATATCCTCTTATTGTTGCCAGTTTGTCACAGCATCAACCCTCCTTTTATTCACACAACAATGTGTTTTTCTTACATAAGTGAGTGCTTAAGATTACCGAATGTTCTCTCAAAGCAGACAAACACAGTGATAAATTCAGAAGTCTGTGGAGCATGTCCACTATAGTCGGCAGCATTATCAGGACTTTGCAGGTTTCAATTAGCAGATTTATGTTGTGCACTCTCAATACAATTGGTTTTCTAGATGTGTGATATTGTTTTGCATTCATCCAGTGCATGTCCCAGGGAGCTATTGAGTTTGTATTCAATGTGTGTGTGTGTGTGTGTGTGTGTGTTTGTGTGCCTGGCTGAACTCAGAGCCAGAACTGTCTGTCTCTTGGACATCACATCATGCCTGTGGAACCCATCAGCCGGCATCGAGGCTGACACTGGGCTGCTCTAATCTGTCCCTGCCGCTGCGCTGGAGGGCATCTGCTGCAGCCGTACACGACCGAAGCAGTGAAGAGTTAAACACTGGCCTCAATGTGTCACCACCACAGACAGACACTGACAGTATCGATGACTTAGAAATCCACTGGATCTGATTGAGAGTTCCACTGCACTGCTGCCACCAGTTACCCCACGTTAAGGATGAATGGGATTAGGCTGCCACCTCCGCTTTATCTGACTGCACCGTGCACAAAGTGAATCATAATGCAGAGCCCAAAAATGGCTTTGAGGTGGAAGCATGCACAAAACTGCTGAAGGATGCTCATTTAATCGATGGTGGATTGAGTTTGCAGATAAAAGACTACCAGGCCTTTGAAGCCAATCAATCAATCATTCAGTCCATTTGTATGTATACAGCACAAAATCATTGCAAAAGTTAGATTAAGTTAAAAGAAGGATAATGGGTTCTCACAGTGGCAGAGTGGTAAACTCCAGGTGAATGCCGGTGTGCAGTCGCCCTGAAGGTCAACTGTTCAAACATTTCATATCCACAAAAAAACATTTTTCACTGGAGGCCAAAAATATTTCACAAAGTGCAAAAAAAAAACCAATCTGAAAACGTAAACTATTGTCCCTTTGAAGATTAAAAACTAAACAATGGAAAAAGGGCAGCCACAGAGCTATCTTCAGGCACTCTCACGATAAGGATACAACATAAAAATCTAAACAACCAAACAACGGCCGATGAGTTCTGACAACTTAGCGCCTATGGGGAGTGTCAAGACACAGAAGAAGGTGAGGCCCACTTACATCATCAAGTATAGCCTGGAATAATTACACCAGCACATTTATGAAGAAACCATAAAAGAGTCAGAAACCATAAGAGGAATGTGTTATCATAAGGAGTCCCTGTGAGAAATGTTTGAACATAGTTAAATAGTTTGTACCACAAAAAGTCAACAAGGAACATTTTTTTGTACAGGTAAGAAATAATCATAATGTGTACAACAATGAGTTTTTTTCAACTGAAAAATGTAATATCAAAATATAATAAACTAATCTAAAAATCAGCAAGGGAGGATTATGTGGAACCAGAGAAAATTTGCAAAAGTTTTCTCATGAAACTTAACAGGTCTTGACCCTGCTCCTGGGATTACTATTTAAATACAGAGACTCAGTATTCATTCATGAGCATGAACTTGGCGACAGTGTTGTAGAGATCAGGCAGAAACCTCGAGCAGAACCAAACTCATTGGTCGACAGCCATCTGCCTTAACCACATGGGCTGAGAAAGTGGGACACAGGGTGAGGCAGAAAGAACGATGAATAAAGACAGACATCAAGCAATAAATAATAGAGATAAGAGTCTTTACAAAGCCAGTAAGGGCAGATAGGCTGTTGTTAACAATTCTAATAACTCCAGTTTTTTTTTAATGATGACTTTCATCTGGAACGTTTTAAGATTGAAGTCGACTTTATAGTACCCCAGCATTGATTTAAAAAAAAGTATCAGACAAAGACCCCCAGCAGAGGTTCCCTCCTCATCTGTGTCAAATGCTTCACATCGGTCACAGCGCGCTGATTGGACTTCCCGGGTCGACCCACCGCTGAGTGCGCACTTAGAGCAACTCCGAGCATTGTGGGGAGATCAAAGACAGATTCTGGGAAGTCAAGCTGTGAATGGCCACGGGAAAATGAGGCAAATCTCTATTTGCACGCACAACCAGGCGTGGGAGCAGGAGATGGGCAGAGAAGAAATTGCAAAGACAGTTAGAGATGAGAGAAATGAGAGGAACGCATCAAGCAAAGTCTCAGGTTAAGATAATTAAAAAAAAAGATGTTTGTGTATGTGCTGACTTGTTCGCGTCCTGCTGTGTGCCTGACTGAGGGCATCTCTCTGATATTTACCAGTGCAGACTCGTAAGGCGCAGCGCTGGTTGCGTCGTAGTTCAGCGCATGGCAAAGGGGACCAGGAATGGTTGGGGAAGACGATTTGTTCACTCCGTTTGCTCAGAGAATAGAAAATGAAAACTGAAGGACTCCCGAGGCGGTGCGATGGTTTGACATTTTAGAGGAGGAAGAACCTTTTTTCAACGTGGGCGCGTGCAGACGGATGGGATTTAGAGATGCCAACCAAGAAGCCAGGGGCACTAGAGGAGGGTGGGTTGTTAAAATATGAATGGTCCGTCCTTCTTTCATAAATTTTTAGTCCAAACGATACATAATTTAAATTGTCTAGCCATATCTCTACCTATCAAAGGTACTCGAAGCTTTTGTTGGCACATGGATGGATGGCTTTAGCACGAAGGTAAACAAAGAGAGTCAATGTAACTTTGTATAGGTCACGTGTGATCGCAACATCATATCAAGTCACTCATATCGACTTTAAGACGAGGACTTTGACGTGCGCTCTCGTGGAACTCCAGGTGCGCTCCATGTTCTGTTCAGGACACACCGGTACCGGCGGGACCTAAAGCACAGCCGGGACTTGATAGCAGCGTCGGGGCTGTGTGGCCAGTGATGCCGGACACATTCACTCTCATACAGAACCGGACAGAGCCACGGCTGGGGCAGCTCGAGCACACACTGGCCACAGACGGGAGCAGCCGCCCCGCCTGGGTCATAGGAATCCTGGCCAGTGTGCTGATCTTCACCACGGTGGTGGACGTGCTGGGGAACCTGCTGGTGATCATCTCGGTGTTCAGGAACCGTAAACTGAGGAACTCTGGTAAGAGCCTTCGCCCCCTTCAAATCATGGAGCTGATTTTAGTGCAGAGGTGCAAAGGTCTGTAAACTTATATATTGCAGATAAAATACTACCAGGCCATTGATATTAGAGAGCACAAATAATGCCGACAACCCTTTATATCTATGGTGTTTATATGCACAATAATGCTGGCTTATGCATGAATGTTGGGTAGAATGATCTTACCCTGCACCTCTAGCCGAAGGATGCATCTCATAAGTAGACCCATAGATCTATGATTTCACTTTGCCTCAAAATCCCTGTCGTTAATGATCCCCAAAATATTCCAGTGCAATTGAGTGCTTTTAAATTTTTTTTTAAAAATGTTAAAGTTGAAATTAAACACACAAAATATAACCTATAGTTTGGACAACATGCCTCCTCCTGCATTAAGGTGTCAGACAGGCTGCATCTTCAACTTGACAATATTATCAGAAGAAAAGCAGCTGTATATATCTTCTGAGCAGCATCTGAACAGGAAACATAGCAGCTGATGAACACAGTGCCGGCTGGTGCAGAGATTTAACCTGTAATTTAACATTTCAGGGATAGTACACTGGGTATCACTGCTGGTTCTATAGCTTCACAACTTAACATAACACTTCAATCACAGCTTAGATGATACATTGTTCTGAACTATGTAGCAGCCTTTGTTTCTCTCTCTCTTTTACTCAATATTGGTGAAGATAAAAGGTAGTCTGACTCACTGCACAAGAGCTGTTTAATAGGAGTTTTTTTTTTAAATTTTTTTAGAGCTGATAGCGGTGTTGATGAATCTATCCTGATGTGCATGTGTGAAATAATCAACGAGGCTTCATGCACCCACAGTGAATCAGAATGCCAAATCAAATAGCATGAAAGAGCTCCTCTGCAGGTAAAAAATGTTCTCCTGATGTCATTCACCTCCGACGAGAATGAACCCCCTTTTCAGAACTACTGAACTACAAATAGTTTCTGTTTTTAATGCTGTTGGTGTGCCATCTCGTTCTTCCTCTTCAACATAAGCAACTTTCTGTAAATGCATATTGCTCTCATCCTGATGGCAGATTTTAATACTTACTGTCTTACCTGTCAGGAGGAATATCTGAAGGGAGAGAAAAAACTGTCACACTGTGCTGACCGGCTGTTTTTTCCTTTATCAAGCGACAATTAGAGGAGGAATTATGCATTTATTTGCATATTGAGCGACAACATTTTTAAGTTAGTAGGATGCAAACGATTCTCCTTTCCTAATAAACCGAATACCCAGAGGATTAACAAAAAGACCTACTTCCTTTTCATTTAAGGCCATTGTGAGACTCTCTTTGGTTGCCTCCACATTTTTATTTTTATATATGTATAAGGGATTTTGATTTCAGTGGTAACTGTACAAAATGTGACTGAATAATCACTGAGACATTTAAGCGCATAACACTGTCTCAGAAAGAGAAAGACTCCTACATTCTGCATCATCAGATACATTTGCCTTGAACCAAGGTTAGACACTTTTTTCAAGCTGTGAAGAAGTGGAACTCAAAAAGTTCAGAGGTAATAAATAGCATTTTTTAACAAGTGAACAATTTATCAACTGCAATTTCACATGCACGTATATAGACTTACCTATAAACGACATTGAAGTCTTTATTATAACACACTGTCTTCATTATGATGGACATTAGATAGCAGCATTTAGAGGCCGTTATGTTATCAAACAGAAGTCTTCCCATTTATTGAGCTAATGGGACAGAGATTATAGCTCATTGGAAATAATTTGTGCTGTTGAAACCAGCGTGCATGTTAACCAGCTGTCTATCCTACACAGATACAAAACGCCCCAATATAAATCTTTAAAAACAAAATTAAAAAAATGGGAGATTCGAAAACTTTGGAACAGATTAAAAGTATTTTGGTGAGTGTGTACCAACAACTGAAATAGTTTTTTATCACATAGAACTTCACATATCACAAAGAAAAGTATTTAAATCTTCATATAGAAGATATCAGAATGAATATTTTGCAAACCATATCAATCTGTGAACAGAGTTTAAAGTAAAGTTAGCATTATTTCACATGGGGCATATTGTACGTTTGCCAATCCCATCCACAAATGGCTGAAACTGGATAATCCGACATAACTTCAGTTTAACTACCTGTCCAAAGAGACTCACCTATAAATGTAAAACCACTGTACAACAATACATACTGTATAATCACACCGCCAAATGTATCACTGCCTGCTTAATTTCTATTCCAGGTGGCCTTGAAAACTGTGGGCTATCCTCCCTTTGTCTATTTCTAGGTTTCCTACTGCCTACCTCAACAGAAACAGTTATATATTTGATATATTTGTGTTTTTGGCAATCGCACGGCACCTTAAAGCTGATCTCTTTCTCAACTCAAAACAGCCCACTCAGCAGTTCAGAAACCACGCTGAACCCACAGTCATGAACCCGGGGAGCAGCTACCACACATCTTAACAGCCCACTCAACAGTTTAGACAGGAAAACACCTGACGTAACAATGGTATATAAAGAGTCACAGCGGGGTCAGGGGTTGTCCGTCACCCACGAGTTACAGCTTTGTATAAGTCTCTGCTGTGACGAGGGGGAGCAAAGTAAACTGACCGCTGAGTGCTGAAAAACATGATTTCATCCGATTGTAGGCTGCTGAGTGATGACTAACACGGCTTTATTCGCACCTACCCACATAAGTGATGCATGCTCACTCATACTGTAGTAAATATTATAGTACAGACTCATTATAATTCTGACACTCAGATGGCATCAATATATCTTGTTATTCACAGTGACCAAAACTCTGACGCCTGTAGGTCATGTAACCACGCTGTGCAAGAATTGCAGAGGGATTGCACATTACCTTTCTGCCCTCTTGCTTGTTTTCATATTTTGTCTTTTGAAAGACCATAATGTTTTATTTCAAGGTTTTTCTCTCTTACTAATCAAATTTAGACCAGTAGGCTCTGGTACGGACACACAACAACACACATGCATTCATTTATGAGCCATTAGAGTCATTTGTCCTCTTTAATTTTTCATCTAAAAGGAAAAGCCTTGTCTCTTTCAAACGCAATCTAATATTCAGTTGGCCTGCATTGAAAAAACACACAAAGCGTACTCATGAGAATTCCGTACAGTATGACTGCATATATTATTGTGATTTAACACTTTATGAATGTGAGTGTGTGTGAATGGAAGGTGCAGGTGTGTAGTCATGTGGGGCAGAGGTCTTTGTCCCTGGAGACTTTTCTTTGAAGCAGCTTAGGTGGTGCAAACCATCAAAGAGAGTTATACAGGATCACACATTACACAGAGTGTCTTCACAGAGACGTTATTGACATCATACCCCCTCCTCTCTCGCTCTCTCTCTCTCATTCCCTCTCCACTTCTTCATCTCGAAAGCTCTCTGCCACTGAAAGAAATAAATGTTCAAAAATATTCCTCAGTGAAGAATGGGGCTCTACACGGTGCACTTTTTACAGCCGTCTGCCTCTCTATGTTGTGCTGAAACTCTGAAAATCAGTTGCCTCATTTATGTCGCTCTCCATGGTGCTGAAAACACTCAAACCTAAGGCTTCTCTTAATCTGTGTTCTCGTCTGAGCTTGTGAAATGTAAACAGTCACAGCCGTTGCAATAAAAAGTTTGCATGGAGCACGGGCCAGACGAACAGACGTGTTCTTGGTCTGCCTATTTTATTGAAGATGCTTTAAAAGCTGACTTTTGTTTGCTGCGAGAAAATACGTATCCCAATATCGTTTGCATGAAACCCAGTAGAAGGAGATCTGTGCCTGATCAACAAATCTTTTGTTATCTTCAACTGCCAGAAGTTTTGGTCATTTTGTGTAAGGAAGGTAACGTGTAAGATTTCAAATATTTGGTCGACTGCAAAAGAAAAGGCTTTTATTTATTTAATTGTTTGATCTGTTGAGACCCATTGGCCTAGGCAGTGTCTTAAAACTGCACTTTAATGTCAATCCAGTTCAAAGCTTCTTTTTGAAGAAAACCTCGGATAGAAGCTTTGATTTAAGGTTTTGTGTGACAAAACAGTTGTGTTGAGGTGTAATCACCAAAGCCCAGATGTGCTGTGCTCAGTCTTGCTGTAGAGTTTAGGCTCTGCTGGTTGAAACTCCACAGGAATCGATACAGAAGCTTGCGTGCTCCATATTGAAAACGGCCTACAGTCTCTCCGTGTGGCTCAGTCTCTGTGCTGAAACATTTTCACCCAGCCTCTCCTCTGACCTTTTCATCTCCCAATGATCCTCTATGACCTCTTCAGCAGCTAACGGGAGTGCCAATGCTTGGTCTTAGCTACAGTTAAAATATCTGTTTTCACATTGATAAAAGGTGAAAAAGTGGGGAAAATGAATATTTACAAAGCAAGGATGAAGAGAGCAAGCATGCAAATGTGTCTGATCTGGTATGGTAATACTTGTTAGTACAAGCTCTTTAAAAAAATCCAGTCTCTCCTCATTATAGTTTGACTCCTAAAAGATATCAGAAAAGTAGGACAGAGAGAAAACTTCCGAAAGAACAACTTCAGCTTTTTAGTTTATTGGACAGTTGGTAAGTCTGCATTTCACCTCTGTAGATTTTAGGCCTCGCTCTGACACATTAATCCACAGTGTCTCAGAGTGAGGAAGAATGGAGGATTTCTGTGTCTTGCTCAGAGACTTTTTGATAGACATACGGCTGCTGGCACTGCTGCAAAAAACCTCTGTGAACACAAACAGCGTCCAGCTGCTGCCCTGTCTGTACTGATCACTGTTAGGAGATTACATTAGCCATTGATGTGAGCAATGGGCTATTAACGCCTGTGACGTACAATGGTTTTTAGACAATTCAAACAGACAGCTCCCTACAGTAATTTTGTAAAACATACATAAGTGATTTGTTAGATAAATGTCAGCTAGAGCTGAACTTAGCCAACATAAATCATGCCACTTTGTGAATTTCAAATATATCACACATTTAGTTCAACCAACTGA